TCCACTGTCATCCTGCCTTGGCCCTGCAATTCCTGGCCGGGCTTTGCCCACCCCACCCAGCCTGTGTGGTGCATGGGTGCTGCTGCTTGGCTCTTATTACATTTAAACTGCAGAGCTGTAGTGGGGGGTAGTTCCTAGAGGCTTCCAACCCTTTCGACTGTCAACTGTATGATTAGCTGATTTACGTGGTTCTTAACATCCCTAGCATGGATCACTTGCAGGTTTAAATTATAGTGGAAGTGACAGATTTTCTGTAACATGAAGTCATCTACATAATAATTTGAGGACTTCAGTAACTCAGCCAGAGGTTACAGTCTAGTTAGGGTGACCAAACAGCAAGTGTGAAAACTTGGAATGGGGTGGTGAGCAGTGTTCCCTCTAATTTTTTTAGGGTCATGTGTGGAATGACTTAGGTGCATCAATATGGAGCGAACGTCTCACATAACAAGTCATTCTGCACGTGGACAGGTTGTTTTGGGGTTGAGGGGTCTAAATGGGGGCTCTGGACTGGGCCAGGTAGTTGGAGTGAGGGCTTTGGGGGTGTGGACTCTGGAGTCGGGCTGTGAATGAGGGGCTTGGGGTGCAGAAGGGAGTTCTCAGCTGGGGAGGTAGTCAAGGGAGTCAGAGTATAGGAAAGACTGCAGGTTGAGGCAGGGAATTGAGGTGCAGGAGAGGGGTGAGGGCTTTGGGATAGGTCTGAGGATGAGGGATTTTAGGAGTCAGTGGGGTAGGGAGGTTTGAGGCTTGGGCAACTACCTAGTGCCTGCCTGTCCTGGGGCAACGCACTGTGCCTTGGAAGTGGTCAGCAGGTCTGGCTGGGAGGAGGGGGTGAGGCTCCACAGTGTACTGTGTGTGCTATTCTCATCCACAGGCACTGCCCCATCCCCCAGCTTCCTGGGCTGGGAACTGGACAGTGGGAATTCAGAGCCATTGCTCAGCATTGGGTCAGCACTCAGTGCCTGCGGCCTCTCACCTAGGACCTGGCCCTGCTGCTGACTGCTTCTCTGCCAGCCCCAGCACAGAGCTGCCCTGGCCGGGCCAGCTTCATACTGGAGCTGGCAGGGAGAGGCCTCTACTGCCATGCCAGTCACTGTAGCTTTGGGGCTTGGGGAGAGCACCTGTATGGGGCTTAATAGTCAGTTTGTGGGGCTTAATAGGAAGTTGCGTGCAGCTTAGAGAGAACTTTGGTGGGTTACAGGCATATGTTTGACAAAACCCCAAATATCAGGACTGTCCATATAATAAAATCAGGACTTCTGGTCTAGGTCTATTACAGGAGTGGTGGGCAAGGTTCTGTGACCTTCAGGGTGCTGAAGACCAGACTAGATGAACATGTGGAACTTCTGGCCTTGAAGTCTGTGAAGGTGTGATGTACCAGTTTGGCTTGCAGTAAACCTTCCTTGGGGCACTGCAACAGCACAGTGACAGTCCTGCTATTGTGTGGCAAGCACCTTAGCTAGCAACACAGTGACTGTCCATGTAGACAAGAACCCCACCTGTGAAATGTACACATCCTCATGTTACATTGTTCTCCCTTGGTTCTTGTCTGCTTGTTTGTCTGATCCACTGATTATGTCTTGTCTTTTTAAGAGGGTGAGCTGTTTGGACCAAAGACTGTGTCATTTTGTATGTGTGTATGTACATGTCATTTGTACTATTCCTAGCACAGAGAGGCCTTGAGACCAATAAGTTAATTCTAGGCCAGGGCTTAGCAACCTTTCCAAAGTGGTGTGCCAAGATTTAACCCTCCTGCCCTCGGTTGTGTCGCTCTCCCAGGAGGAGGGAGGGGCTCTCTCCAGCACTTGCCCCATGGACCCCCTGGGTTAATGCAAACCTTTCTCCGGACTACCAGTTGCTAATGGAAACTCACTGTTAATTACATAATTACGCCCAGACCATTTTGCAAGTGCTGCAGCTGGGGAGAATGGTTTAATATTAAATTATTAAACAGATTAAGCATTTTAACTTTCTCATGTTAGTTGATCAAACTTCATTTTAAATAAAGTTAAACTTTATGTCCAAAGAAGGTTTCAATGTTTTCTTTATTTAAGGCAGAGGTGGGGAGCCTTTTTTGGGTTGAGGGGTCACTGACCCACAGAAAAATCAGTTGGTAACCACACAAGTGAGCAGCAAAAAAAAAACTCCCCCCAAAAAACCCCAACCGTCACTTATGAGGCCCCCAAACTGAGACACCTCACTCTTCAGGCATGCCAGCCACCCGCCATGGGGCGAGGAGAAGGGACAGGAGGACTGAAGTTCAGGGCTTCCCATAGGCCAGATTTACTTTTTCTGGGGTTCCGGAGTTAGTGGATTTTGTGAACCCCCTTAAGCTCTGGGATGAGAACAAAAATGTTCACTAGGGTTGCCAGGTGGTTTCAACAAAACTACCAGACACACTTGACATTACATCACAATCTACATTACATCTTATTTAGAAAATACCAGACATTTATATTTTCTCAATTTTTCCCGAACAGAAAGCTCAAAGACTGGACTGTCTGGTTCAAAACAGGACACCTGGTAACCCTAGAGTTAAATGTGCGGGATAGGGCTGCAGGACAGGGTGAGGAGGGCAGGTTCTGGAAGGGAGTTTGGCAGCAGGAGAAGATCTGGGGTGGGGATACGAGAGGGGGCTGGGCGAGTAATACAGAAAAGATGAGAGGCTGAGAATGCAGCCAAATAGCTAATTGGGGAGGGAGGCAAAGAAGCAGAGAGTAAAAGGAAAGTGCATCTTCTGCAAAGTAAAAGTGTATCTCCCTCATGTCTTCCCTCTGTTCCAGCATCGCTTCCCTCAGCACTGTGATCTCCACCCCCAGACTGATCCCATGTATTGTCCCATCCACCCTCGGTGCAACACCTGCCCCCTCTCATCCTGGCCCTGCATCATTCTTCATCCCCTCTCCTGCCCACACATCCCTGTGCCCCAGCACACTCACTGGCAGGGGTGCACAGTCTCTTTGCCTGTGGGCTGCGGTTCTGGGGCTGGGTCAGGTAGAGCCTGGGGCTGCTCAGGGCTGGCTGCAGCCCAGCCAGGGGCAGAGTGGTGCTGGGGAAGGGGCTCCCCGACTCCTCAAACAGCCTGTGGGGAGCAGCCCAGCACACCGTGTGTGCCGGCCACCCAGCCCCGTGCCCTCCTGAAGCAAGAAGCCTGTAGCCAGGTTGGGGAGGGGGGGAGGTTAACACCTTAGCTGCTGGGAGCTGCACACCCAGGCTGGGCAGGGGCACCTCCAGGGACACATGCGTGCCTCACCCTGACCTCACCTTCCAGCAGGAAGCTAGAGCTAGTGATCCAGCCTGCAGCTGCGTTGCTGAGGCTGGAGCCAAAGCACGAGCCCTGATTGCATGGGGTGGAGGGAGGGACAGGGTGGGGTGGGACTGAGCTCCCACCCTGTGTGCCATGGGAAATCGGCTCACATGCCATGGGTTGCTGACCCCTGTTCTAGGTACTACTATAGGGGTAGGGAACCTTTTTTGGGTCGGGCTGCTGACCCACAGAAAAATCAATCAGGCTGCACATAAGCGAGAAGTAAAGGGGGAAAAAAAACAACCCCAAACAAACCCTCACTGACGAGGCCTCCAACTGAGAAGAAGAGACCCTCTCCACCTTCCCCTTGCACACCAGAGCCTAAGGGGGCCCAGGCTAGTAGACTGTGCTCTAGCCCCACGGAGGGGCAGCGGGACAGGGAGGTGGTAGGGGGTGGGTCTAAATCTCATGGGCTGGCTGCAGGCAAGCCAGGGGCTGCAACCTGCACTGGGCCTTACGTTCTTCTCCCCTGCACTACTATAATGAAAATAAAAATGATTTTAAGGAATGTTAGTTTTCTGTATAAAAATATTTTTAAAGTCCAGATTTCTGAGGACCACCCAGAGGTAACTGTATCTGTGAGAACCATTGGCAGAGTAGATAAAAAAAAATGTTTTTATTTTGTGTGTTTTTCCTTTTTTAGAATAAATCTGTTCAAATGAAATCTGAATTTACTGTAAAAATACATTAAGGCTGAACTTTATAATCTCTTGAAACAAATAAAAAACAAACACACAGAATGCATAAGCTTATATGAAAAACTCAGTTAAAGGCTTTTTTTCTGTATAAAGAAAGAGTTGCGGGGGTGGAGGGAGAAAACAAACATCTAACTTTTTAACTTTTCAGGCCAAGCTTTTTAAATTTGGCACAGTATGATGTGTATTAAGGGCTTGTTTTGTTTAATAAACATTTTTTATGCTGCTGAGTGTTTAATTAAATTCTAAGTACTCTCTTAATTTTGCTCATGATTTATGTCAAGTTGTATTAAGTATTTAGAAAATGAGCAATTTACCATTTTCTGACCTACTAAAATGTGCAATTAATATCTGAAAACATTAAACTACATAAATACTCAAATGTATGGAGTTTGAGAGGTAGTAGTACTAGTTTGCAGCTGTAAAAACAACACGCAGGTTAACTGGTTAAGTCACTACAGAGGCAGTTTCCCTGCCTTTGATATTTGTATCTCCATAGCAAATACTGTGAATGGAACACATCCACTCTGACTTAATTAGCTTTATTAACACTGGTCCTAAAATTGGCAGGTAACTTGTTTTGCTGTTATACCCAAAATTCTGTAACTTTCACCAGGGCTGTAAGTGACTAGTTAGTTCCCCCGCTGCCTCTGTATCAGGCGCAGCAGGAGGGGGTGGAGAGCAGGGGCCAGTGCTGGGGAGGGGGAGGCAGAGGTGAAGTGGGGAAACAGCGTGAACAGGGACTGAAGCAGTCCCCGCTTGCACTGGGTCCTTACTGCTGTGCCTCTGCCTTTGAAATGTAGCAAGAGCCCTTCAAGGTGCAGTGGAGAGAGCAAATGCCCCACCCCATTCACTAATCGAGTAGTTGATGGAAATTCCATCGACTACTCAATTGGCTGATTAATTGAAATTTAACATCCCTAATTTTCACTCCAATTCATCTGATGAGGGGGGTTTTATCCATGAAAGCTCATGACCTAATAAATGTGTTAACCTTTCAGGTGTCGCAGGACTGCTCATTGTTCAAATGTATGGAGTGAGTCGCTCCTCCTAGGTAACAAGAAGGTATATAATTTCTTGTGGAAAAGCTGATTGTTAATCGACATGTTTAATGGGTCTATCAACTATTCAGAATGTACCTTTTAAGTAGCTGAAGTACAGATGGAAAAGTTGATTTAACATCAGTTTATTTAAGTCCGGGTTGTCAACTTGGTAATTTTTAAATCCGTAACTTAAATCGCACTGATGCAAATCCATCCCTGCCCGATTTTTAAATCCGTAACTTAAATCGCACTGATGCAAATCCATCAACCCTGCCCATTGGGAACTGTAAAGCGCCCTTTTCCAATGCTATAATGCTGTCCGTTTTAGGCTATTTTCAAGAAGTCAGACCTTAGACTGATTCCTGGTGGCAGACTGAGTTTGTTTTTCCACAGAGTAATTGTAGAGAGAAATCCCACCAGCAGGAGTGGAAAGAAGAAAGGAAAGGAAACCTTTATTTTGTGGCAGGTTAATTTAAAGAAAAAATTAAATATATGGTGATGGTTTGAAGTTGCTTAGAATTTGGATTGTTGGAATGGAGGTGGATTAGTAGGCAGGGGATAGGTATGACATATGCATGAGAGGGTCTGTTTGTTCTTTGGATAGCTATGTTTGTGTGTAAACACACGTGCCCCAGTTTATAATATGGATAAGATTGAAATGTGGAATTTAACTCCATATGGGATTCTTTGTGGGTCTTCAGGTTAATACTGATGGCAAAGAATCACACAATTTCCTATTCCCTTTGCTGATTACTTCAGGAGCCAAGATGGTGATCAGGATACAGCTACTTTTGGTTCAGACAGGATAAAATGGGATATAGATGCTTCTGAGGACAATTAAGTTCTGTAGGACCTAGGGCTGTCAATTTCCTAATTTCAGAAAACTGAATACCCTTGCCCTGAATACCCTTGTCCCGCCCCTGCTCACTCCATCCCCCCTCCTTCTGTTGCTTGCTTTCCCCCACCCTCTCTCTCCTGTGCCAAGCAGGTGAATGTATTGTTGTGACAGATGTATTATGCTAAGTTCAGGTTTTTTATTACAGGATGCTAGAGCTGGAAGCAAAATAGTCAAAAAGATAATTAAAAAAAAAAGAAATTTCACAAAAATTCTTTCCCTCCTCTGTTCCCATTTTTCATAACCAGCTCCATATTTTAACTAAAACTGTTGTAATTTTGTATGTGGATTTAGGACTACACATTATCACAGCTGCAATGGATCCATTAAAGGCCCACTTCTGAAGCCAAAATACAAATTCATAAAGCACTACTGTAGAGATGCATACCTGTCCAGATTGCTATATAAATAAATCTTCAGAAACTGATTCCCATGCCTACATGCAGATACATGTGTGCATTCATGTCCTTGTTTAGTATGCACTAACACACATAATTCCACATGTATTTAGTACTGCAATTGTTGTTTAGTGCCTAGAGACCCCAATTAAGATCAGGACTTCAGGATGGTAGATTCTGGACACGCACACAGAGAATCTGCAGCAAAGAGTTTAAAATCTAATTAAACAAAGGAGGGGAGTCTACAGCAGTATATGGAGGTGAATAGGGTGTAGGGATGTGGGGTGTTAGAGATATGGGGGTGGCAGCTCTGTGAGGTGGAAAGGATGGGTGGGGGAGAGCTGTAAGGGATACAGGGATGGGTGGGTGTAGCGGGCAGGACAGGATGGGAACAGGGAAGGATGCAGTGAGGGCGATGGGGGTGCAATCCCATTCCCAGCACTCTGAGATGTTGGTATACATACCTCAAATGTCTGGGTGCCAGTGAGGGGACAACAGACAGACCACAGGGCAAGCATCACAGTTCTAGCCCTGCTCTGTGAGGAGAAGAGAGCAGTGCAGCAGCAGGAGAGGCATGCACCATGTGACCCCTCCACAGCCACCTGTTGGGTGGTGAGTGCTCACAAGTTATGCTAGTTCCTCCCCTGCCTTAGCCAATGGGAGCTGCATGTGGGGCAGAGGGAGCATGTGGATCCCCCTGGCTGCCCCTAAGGCATGGTGTGGTGACTACTAAGGAGCTTGTCAACCCTGCTGTGTGGTGCAGCAGTGCTGTCAACTGGACGGTCATCAGCCTGGTCAGCAGTGCTGAGTGGCGCCTCCAGGATCCCATTTTTAATCAGATGTTTCAGTCCAAAACTGGGACCTGGTCACCCTACCTGCAGCATGCCTGACTGACTTGAAGTCTGGTTGGCTGCTGCCCCAGGTGTGTGCTTTCTGTAACAAATGCAGTGGGTGTGGAGCGCACATGCATACCATTTTTAGTTTGTTTTGAGTTCTAAATTTGCTTTTGGTGAAAGATACTGGTTTGATGGTGTGAGAGTGAACATTCCTCTCTTCCCAGCAGTGGTATGGGCTTGACAGCAGCAAAGTGTTACTCATTGACCTGTTCCTAAGCTCTGTAATGTTATCTTGATGTGAAATCCAAGTGGGGCCAGGGACAGGTAGTTTAATCTTTGTATAGCTGGGCAAGCTCAACCCTTGAGCAACAAAAATAAGATTTCAAAAACCATCCCCATGTAAAAAAGCTGGGCATGTTTAGTATTAAGAAAAGATTAAAGGTGGACTGGATAACAACCATCAAATACATGGTTTTTGTTTTTGGGTTGTTATAAAGAGGAAGGGGGCCAATAGTTCTCCATGTTACCTGACGGGAAGACAAGAAATTACAGGTTTAATCTGCAGCAAGGGAGATTTAGGTTAAATATTAGGAAAAACTCCCTAATTATAAATGTACATGAGTTCTGGAGTAGGCTTCCAAAGATGGTTGTGGAATTGCCATCACTGTCCAGTCTCTTCCTAAAAATCTCCAAACACCGAGCACGAATGGGCTGGGTTTACTTGGTTCTACTTCAGAACAGGGGGCTGGATTTGACTCTCTCAAGGTCCCTTCTATCCCTGTATTTCTGTCATTCTGCTTCCCCTCCCCCCACCACACACTCACCTGGAGTTTACTTTTGTTTGCTGCATACAGGTATAACCACACTGCATTGTTTCCAGCAGGATTTTTCAGTAAGATGTTGGTGCAAACCAACTTTTTGTTTCTATAGTGAAGGCAAAGCCAAATACTCCGAAATTGACTTTATGCGAATATTGGATGATAACTTCAGTCGCTACCAGTTTGGTTTGTATCTAAATCAGTGCCTGATAAGTGAAATGGTTCCTATCCTGTTCTAAAGAATAGTTTAGTGTGCAGAGGGCATTGGTGTTCAGGAGAGGACATAGGCCTTTCCCCTCTCCATCATGCTGCTTTTAAGATTGCTACATAATTGTATTCTGAAATTCTCAGAAGTAGGCTGAAGAATCCTGTATGAAGGCTATGTAGGATGGATTACATCCATGTCAGACCGGGGAACACATCTGTAGGCCCCCACACCCACAACACTTATGTAGATAAATTCTTGTTAAAGAAATGGGATTTTTCCATTCACCAAGCAATGTACATATTTTTCTATTGTGTTCTTCACTCATGTTTGCAAAAACACTTTCCAGGGAGAGTGTACAGGTTGAACCCCTCTAGTTCAGCACTCTCTGGTCCAGCAGCATCCATGGTCTGGCATGATTTTTGGTTAGCTAGTTGTCCACTTATGGGTGTGGCCAAGTTTCTCATGGTCCCACAAAGTTTGTTTACAGTCCTGTCTCTCCATGTTCTGTGCTGTTCTTTAGCTCTAATTTACCCCTGAATGTCTTCCAACAGCCGAGTAAGCAGTGACAGTGTGGCTAATGCTGCTAGGCAATATTGACCTCTGATGGCTTGGCAAATTCTCTGGTTCAGCACTGATCAGTTCCCAAGGGTGCTGGACTACAGAGAGTTTCAACCTGTGCTTATGAATTGAAAATGAAGAAGGTTTTATGTGAGATTTAAAGAGGGAAAGTGCCTCAGAGGCAGGAAATGTGAGAATTCCAGATTGGTGGACCAGAATATGTGAGAGCAGATCTGCACCTCTTCACCCTGGAGTTGTAAAGAGTTCCAGAAAAATGAGCAGAAAAGAGAAGGCAAGACTGGGGGGTGAAGACTGTCATGATTATGAGGGTTAGCCAGCAGCCTGGGGATTAAGGGGTTAACTACACCTAGCCAGGTGGAGTGACCAATAGCAATGTAGGTGGGATTTTTTCACCGTCTGTGATTTGGTGGGCATGTCATGATTATGAGGGTTAGCCAGCAGCCTGGGGATTAAGGGGTTAACTACACCTAGTCAGGTGGAGTGACCAATAGGAATGTAGGTGGGACTTTCAAACTGGGACAAAGGAATTTGTGTTTTTTTTCTTTTCCTCCCTTTTGTCTCTCTGGGTGAGTTCTCTGCAGCTACAGAGAGGGACAAGCATGTCTCTCTCTCTCTCCAAGACACCATTCTTCATTTTCTGTAAGTAGGGTAAAGTTTAGGTAGTTTCGTTAGGTTTTATTGTTTTAACGAAACTACCTAAACTTTACCCTACTTACAGAAAATGAAGAATGGTGTCTTGGAGAGAGAGAGAGACATGCTTGTCCCTCTCTGTAGCTGCAGAGAACTCTCCCCAAGAGACAAAAGGAAAAAAAAAAAAGAAACCCAAATCCCTTTGTCCCAGTTTGAAAAATCCCACCTACATTCCTATTGGTCACTCCACCTGGCTAGGTGTAGTTAACTCCTTAATCCCCAGGCTGCTGGCTAACCCTCATAATCATGACAAAGACTAAGCAGGCTTAGGGATTAGTTCTAAAGTTAAGATTGCATCCTTGTATGTATGCATCAGTTACATTTTGATAAACAACAAGAAGTCCTGTAGTACCTTATAGACTAACATTTATTGGAGCATAAGCTTTTGTGGGCAAAGACCCACTTCGTCAGGTGCCACAGGACTTCTTGTTGCTTATGCAGATACAGACTAACACGGCTACCCTTCTGATAATTAAATTTTTAATTACTCAGCCAACTCCAGTTTGTCAGATAACACACTAAAGGCTGCTCAGCTTTGGAAGCTCCGGGGGCCACAATGATACAGCACATACTGAGGGCTGCAACTAAAGTGTGGTTA